TCTCTCTCTCTCTCTCTCTCTCCGAAAGAAGAAGAAGAAGAAGAAGAAGAAGAAGAAGAAGAAGAAGAAGAAGAAGAAGGGGGAAGGAGGGAGAAGAGATTGAGGGTGAGACGAAGGAGAAGAAGAAGATGCCGTCCTCTTCACTGTCTCACCTGCAAGTAACTGCCGCCATGTGCAAACTGCCGTCGTGGTCCCTGTGCAGGTCGTCGGCGTGGAGCGCGGCTATGGCCCCAGGTAAGTACCGCCGCTGCAGGTATGGCCTCTGCCTCACCTCCTACCTACACCTCTACCTCTACAGCGCAGTGCTGGGTCGCGCAGCTCCAGCAGCGTGTCACCCAAGAAGTGAGCTACTCAAACTGTGTGTCTGCCCAGGCGTGGCCCAGCTACAAGTAGCGCTGGGCCTCGCGGGTGTGCCTCCGTGTGCCTCTGGTCCTAGGCCAAAAACGTGGCCTGCCTGGGTCCCTACCGGACATCCAGGCCCTCCCTGCTGTCTGCAACTGGACGAAAGCGGACCTGGCCCGAAAGGGCCTGCCTTCGAACGTACAAGGCCCAAGATGCGGCCTTTGTCCGAAGAGACAAAGAGTCTGTTCGGACGAACAGCAAGTCCGAAACAACACCTGAGCAGACAAAAATAGGATAGCAAATAAATAAATAAATAAATAATGCTGCTTCAAATCGAAACTGCGGCCCTACGGCCGGCCGTGGGCCTCCAGGGCGCGCGTCCGAGGGGCGTGCGGCCTCGGGGCCCCCAGCAACCGTCGGCCCCCCAAAATGGGGCCCGTGTGCAGGCTCAGCATGTAACAGCCTGCCTCGTTAATATGAGGTTATGCACTAGGGGTCAGGCCTCACTGCTGCTGTTTTTGCACTGAGGTAGCACACACCTGGCCAGATCGACAGCCAGATTCGTGTGTATTTAGAACTAAGAACATACATTCTACAAGGCAAGCACTTTCCAGGAAAGTGCCCACCTCGAGGGCAGGCATTCTTGCCTTTGCCCATTGTGCGGCAGTGCTGCTTGTACGTGTGCTGAAGGCCACTGGCGGGAGGCAAGGCGCACACGGGCGCAGGCGGTGGGCGCTGCTGAGCGCAGCGCCAGAGCCCAGTCAGCCATAGTCGGGCTGCGGCTCAAGGTTGCCACCCGGCTCAAGGTTGCCAATGGGGTCTGGTGGTGGTCTTCGGGGAAAGGACGATTAGATGTCGGGGAAGACGAGGGTGAGTGAGGTCTGCATGGGCGGCATCTTTGCGTACAAGTGGTCTGCTGGTGAAGTCTTCCTGTTGCATTGTCATTAGAGTAGGCTAGTTTAGAGGCGCTGTGTGAACTAGCGCCGTGTGATTGTAGTAGTCTGGGCACTGAGCGTCAATTTAGGAGAAGAGACATTGGATGCATTTTTTTGTCGATGGTGGCGCGGAGGGGCTGCCATTGACAACTGATGTCATTGCTTTGGTCTCCTTTGGTGGGTTACTTGGTTCTTTCTGCTCATTATCATTATCGAGGGAGGTCGATCCCGTGATTGCATATTCGCCAGCGCCGAAGGCGCCCTTGTCGGTGGTGAATGCTCGTGTAGTGCATTCTTCGTGCCTTACTGAGGCCGAAGGCGCGTAAGGGATTGCCTGTAGCGCTCTGATGTTATACGCACCACCAGAACCATTCCTAAGAGTCTAAGTGTTACATGCACAGATATGCAATGTACGTAATAACCGAGGAACTGCAATGTGATGAAAAGGACTGAATGGACAATACAGTGCGAGTAGAATCTCGACAGACAATGTGCATTCTCATACATACAAAAGGTGCTGAATAGCGCAGGGAAGACTTTGATACAAAGACTGACCTGACCGGGACTGACCTCATTCACGTAGTTCAGAGGAGCGAAGCAGAATGCTAGAGTACTACTAACTAGCCCAATCAATGTTTGAACTCAGACTAAACATGCATTGTATCCATCACCAAGTGTGAAGGAGCCTGGCGCTGTAAACAGGAAGAAAGCGCCAGGTCCAGAAATACACAGACGAAGAGATAAGGATCAGACGAAAGGAGGGAGAAAGATGGGAATGTCGTTAACACCAAGTCTTGGTCACCAATCCCAAATAGTCCCTCGTTGCCATGTCTGAACCCCCAAAAGTCGAGTCTGGATCAAATGTCACCAAGCTCTGTATCTCTTCTCTCATAGCCTGCAGATGCAGTGAAGCCAGAAGTTGAGAGGGAGAGAAGAGATGGTGGACTGAGAAGAGGAAGAAGAAGAACTCTCTCTCTCTCTCTCTGTTACGAAACAGATACTAACCTGTGATGTTGGCGCTGTGCTGCCGGTACCTCGAAGACAAAGCTGGAGCAACGGCGCTGCAGGTAGGTACCTCTGGCCTCCGCCCAAGCTCTCTCTCTCTCTAGTACTACCTAGCTATGGCGACCAGCGCTGGAGACTACAGCTACCTACTGCGCCCAGCGCTGAAGACTACAAGCTAACGCTACTACTACTACACTACAGCGCTCCCTCCAGAGTGCTGCTCCCGAGTCCTGAAGACTACAACTGACCGGCTGCCTACCTGTGAAATGCCTGGGAAGTCCCTAAGTACTTCCTCGGCCTGCCTCCTAACTGCAGGAGGGTGAGCAGGCCGAGGAGGCAGCTCTTGCCAATGCCGAAGTGTGCCAGGGGCTGGCGTGCAGCAGCCTGCTGAGGCTGGCGTGCAGCAGCCTGCTGAGGCTGGCGTGGGAACAGTCTATATATAGGCTGTTCCCCAAAACCCTGGTTCGGTGCCTGAGTTTCAGGGCCGGTCGTTCTRATGAACGACCGAAAATGGCCCTTGGGTTCAGGCTAAAAATGCTATTACCATTTTTAGTCTGAACCGTCGCAGGGGCTGTAGGCCCTGAAAGTCAAGCTTTCGGCCTGAACCGACATGGGGCCTATAAGCCCTTGATTTCAGGCTTTTGGCCTGAAAACCGCCGGGCCTGCAAAATGGCCCGTGTGTGCACGCGCTGCATGTAACCCCCCCCCCTCCTTATGAAGCCAAGCCGGGGCGAGGGCGAAGCCGTCGATCTGAAGGTGGAACATGGACGCGGGCGCGGCGTGGAGCCGAAGAAACCGGCTTGCCTTGCATCTTGCGTTCGTAGCGTGCGAGAACGTTTGGAGCTGTCGCTTGCAGTTCCGCACGGGTTAACCAACGGTCAGCTTGATGTGTGCAGTAGGCAAAATGCACCAAATACTCAGTTGGCTTGTTGCCGTAGCGTCGCTGGGAGATGATGTCGCCGACCTCCTGAAAACCATCCATAGAAGGTGGGTCTTGCGTACGTCTCCCGGGAAAATCGTCATGTTCCACTGGCGTGTACAGAGCCAATTTGGAACAATGAAAGACTGGGTAGACGGGCAAGTGGCTAAGCACCTGAATCGTGAAGGAAGGTCTTTCAGGTGCGTCCCCAGCGGGCTCAATGATCGGCCAAGGCCCCATCCATTTCGGAAGGAGCTTGCGAGAGATGTCTTGCCCAAGGCTGAATTCCGCTGCTGAAACCCAAAGGAGGTCCCCGACGCGGAATGGACAAGGAAGACGCTGGCGATTTGCCTGCTGGCTCATGCGCTGCTGCGTCTTAGCCATCTGGTCGCTTGCCTTGACAAGAAGCTCTTGCATCCGACGCAAGAAAAGAAGATGGTCGTCGCTCTCGGCCGTGCGTGGAGTAATCGTGTCCAACGGTGACGTGACCGGCGAGCTGTGCTCGAACTCGAAGGGCGATATCCCAATAGCCGAGTGGATGGAAGAGTTGTAGGCCAACTCAACGTCCGGCAGTCGCTCAACCCTGTCTTTCTGGTCGGGGCGGATGAGAGTGCGAAGGAGAACCTGTGTGGTCTGATGCGCCCTCTCCGTCTGGCCATCAATCTGAGGGTGGCGAGCTGAACTAGGCTTGAGAGATGAGCCCCATCGCTTGATGAGCGCCAACCAAAAATCGGACATGAACCGAGTGTCGCGGTCGCAGACGATCTCCTTGGGGTAACCCTTGGTGCGAATCCAACCGGCGTACAGAACCTCGGCCAACTCCGGTGCCTTGGCATGATAGCGACAAGGCAAAAACATGGCGAACTTGGTGAGTCGGTCGACCACCGTGAGAATCCCATTCACTCCGGTCTTGTGCTTGGGGAACGGGCCGGTGTTGTCCATGGCAATCGCTTCCCTTCGTCTCAACGGGACTGGCAATGGTCGTAACTCGCCGTACGGACGATGGTTGCGGGATTTGCAGCGTCGACAAACCTCGCATGACTCGCAATAGCGCGTGACGTCGCCGAGAAGGCCGGGCCACCAAAATCGATGGCGAAGTCGGCCAATCGTGCGATTGACTCCAAAATGTCCAGTGGCGGGAGCGTCGTGGAACCTGCCAAGAAGCCGTGTATGCAAGTGAGGATCACTCGGTACGCAAAGAAGGTCCTTCCCCCGCGTGTGGACAAGCAAGTACCCCTCTTGGATCCGATAGTGAGAAGGAGCCGGATTAGGAGAGGCGCAATTTGAGTACTTGTCGCGAAAATCGGGGTCGGCTTGGTAGCCGTGGATGAAGCTGTTCCGCAGGTCGTCGTCAATCTCGAAGGTCGAGTAGACTGCGGTACAATGATCCGGACGCCGTGAGAGAACATCCGCAAAACGGTTCGACTTCCCGGGAATGTGATCGGGAAAGAAGTCGAACTGGTCGATGAAAGCCATCCATCGAGCGATGGTGCTGTTGACGGTGTCTTGGGTCTTGTAGAAGACCAACGGATTGTTGTCCGTTACCCAGCGAAATTAGCTTCGACCAAGGAGGAAGTGCCGCCACCGCTTGAGCACGTGGACGAAGGCGAGGAGCTCCTTCTTGCGTGCATCGTCAATGGAATGCACGAGTGGCACTTTCTTGCTGAAGTACTCGACCGGGTGCGAGTCCACACCATCATGTTGCTCGAGGACTGCACCAATGCCATAGCCTGACGCATCCGTAGTGACATGTGTAGGCGCAAGCGGGTCGTATATCCGCAAGACCTCCGCAGACAATAGCGCGGCTTTGAGAGTGAGGAATGATCCCCGCGCCTCCTCTCCAAAGTCAAACGGCCGATCCTCGCACTGAAGCTTGTTCAAGTGGGCCGCGATCTTGGAGTAGCCTTTGATGAAGCGCTGATAGTAGCCGGTAAGACCGAGGAACGAGCGAACATCCGTGACGTTCCGAGGCTCCGGCCACTCCTGGACGGCCTGAATCTTGTCCGATAGCGGACTGATGCCCTCCGGTGTAACAAAATGGCCCAAGTATTCCAGCTCTTGCCGGACAAATTCGCACTTGTTGCGGTTGGCCTTGTACTTGCCACGGCGGAGCGTCTCCAACACTCGTCGAAGATGCCCCAGATGATCCTCCAATGGCCGGCTATAGACGAGAATATCGTCTAAGTAGACCAGCACGAACAGGTCCAACATTGCACGGAACTCATTGGTTATGGCCGCCTGAAAGGTCGCTGGGGCGTTGGTGAGGCCAAAAGGCATGACCACCCACTCAAAATGCCCGTACCGCGTCTTGAACACGGTCTTGTAGCGATCGTTCGGCCGGATCGAGATTTGATGATATCCTGATTTCAAATCCAACTTGGAAAAATACTTCGCACCGCCCAGTCGCTCGAGAAGATTGTCGATGCGAGGAAGAGGCCCCGCATTCTTCACGGTTTGCGCATTGAGCTTGCGGTAGTCGATGCACAATCGTAGATCCTTGCTCTTCTTCCAGACGAAGAGAACTGGTGCTCCATATGGGGAGCTACTCGGGCGGATCCAGCCCTTGGCCAACAAATCGTCGAGTTGTGCGCTGAGTACCTCAAGCTCCTCCTTGCTCATCCGATAGATGCAACCTTTCGGCGGCACTTGGCACCGGATCGAAGAGTACGGTAGAGGAATAGTACACGCCACTTCCGCGCCGAAGGCGTCGCGAACGCTAAGAGTCCGCCGATGGAAATTGACCGTGTGATCCGCACTCGCAAGCCAAGGCTTTCCCAGAATGATGTCGAAGTCCGTATCGAGAATATCGAATGTTACCGGTTCGCATGCATGAGGTGCGAAGTAGACCGGTACGGCCTCGATGTAACGGTCGAGAAGTTGCTGCGTCTTTCCATCCGCCAACTTGATCGCCGTCGGGTTTGCCTTCCTCCGAACTTGTGCGCCAAGGCCAGCCCTTTGCATAAAGGATTGGCTCATGAAGTTGCGAGTCGCGCCGCTATCCAGCAAAGCGCTGCAGGACGCTTGCCCAACCTGGATGCAGACATACATGAGCGGTGCATTGTTGTTATCGTACGAAAACTCGCGGGCCACCTTGGTAGTATATGCCAGGATGTCCCCCACCGCGACTTCGTCATCCGTCGGCGAAGTTGGTGGTGCATAGAAGGAAAGGTAAGTGTGGAGATGAGCGYTAAGTGYTGCGCATTGCGGTCCCGRCAAACAGCCTGTGGTCGGGAGAGGAAGCCATGCAAAGTCCTCAAACGTGAGCGGGTCCAATGCCTCTACATTGAACTCGCGCGCCGAATCCCGTGACAAACCACTTGAAGACGATATGTCGCTGTTGACGGACAGAGAAGAAACCGCACACACTCCTTGTCCTTGAGCTTGAGTACCCAGCGTTGGAACGAGCCGGGCAGCATAGTCCTCAAAAGAAAGTAGAAGCGGAGGACTGTCGACTTCCGCGTGCGCCTCGGAATGAAGGCTGGTCACTCGCGAAGAAACCAGTTCCGAAGGCGTCGAGAGTGTCGTCGCGTCACTCTCGGCGGTGCTCAGTTTCCCTGTCTGCCCTTGCCTTTCAATGGGCAAACCTGCGTCTGATGAAGATCGTTGTTGCACCAAAGGCAATAGTGGAATCTCTCGCGCGCCTTGTATGCGGACTCGGAGATGCCATACGGGTCCATGGGCCTGTCTGAGTTGCTGCACCGGGCCTGGGGCTAGAAACGGTGTGTGTCTTCGTCTTGCCGCGCCCTCGGCCTGTGCCGGCGCGGCCACCTTCCGGGCGGCTGCGAATCTGTCTCCTTCACTGGCAGACGCAGCCTCGCTGGTTTGGTCTAACGGCGCTGCCGCTGCGACCACGGCCACTCTTGGCCGATGCTGGTCCCTGCTCGGGCCTGACGCAAATGAACGGAGGTTCTTGGCTTCCTTGTTCGTGACGATGATCTGCGCAGCCTTGTCAAATAATTCCGCCGTCGTCGTCAAGGTGTCCTCGACATACGTCAGGGCATTGCTCAATGTCGGACATGACCTTGAGATGAAGTAGTGGCGGATGGCCTTGAAGCCCATCTGGATGTCTGGGACTGACGTCAAGCGTTGGTACTCGGCGATCCAGTCCGTACTCGGCAGCGTGCCTTGTTCGAAGACCATGAGTTGGTCCATGGCTTTGATCTCTGGCGGCTCCACCTGGAACCGCTTGTGCCACGCCGCCTTCAGATCATCCCAGGTGATCTTGGTGTGCAAGTCATTAGCTACCACTCCGTACTTGGACAACAGGTTGTCCAACCAAGCCTGACACGCGCCCCCTGAGCGAGAGTACAAGTAGGCGTGATGCTTGTGCTCCTTGACGTTGTGGAGCTGCAGCGTGAGCTCGAACTTGCGAAACCATGGAATTGGATCTATCTTGATTGAGTCGTGGAAGATCTCCTGCCCATCGAACTTAGGAGTTGTCTCGCGCGGCTCCGGACTCGAGGTGGTGGCAGTAGTGTCGAGCCGCTGCTGCAACTGTTGCATCGCGGTCTGCTGTAACTGTGCGCCGTCCTGGAGGGAGCCGACATGCATCTCCAATGCGGTGAGGCGGTCGGCAATATTGGAAGAGCCTGCATCGGCGGCGGCGACTGGTCGCTGCTCCATCCGCTGAAGGCGGTCTTGGAGATGAGCTACCGAGTTGTCGAGACCGAGGATCTCCGCCTGCTGTGTAATGCAGGTTCAGTCCCTTTCATGCCAGGCCAATCAAACTGTCTCAGCAAATTAGCGTATGTTTTTGCCATGCCGAAGTGCCTGCTCCGACCATGAGCCAAATCCATGAAGTGTGTGTGGAGAGGCTCATGGTTGGGTACACACAAACGGTCATGGTTCCCGTAGCGACGAAAAATCAGTCCTCCAAACTCGTGGAAATCACGCTGACTACTAGGATCAGCCCGCAGCTGCTCAAGGATGGAACAAAGTTCCGGATCCTTGGCTGTCTGCTCTACGAGCTCCTCCTTCAGTTTCTTCCGAAGGTCGTAGGATTTCACAAGGCAAGTCATGTACTCAGGGTGGCAAGACAATGTGTCAGCGACTCGATTATAACAGCCCTTTTTGTGTCTTAATTCAAAATCGAAGATGTCAACCTTATGAAACCAGCGAAGCAAGGTAGGGGACAGGGTAGTTTGCTGTTTGATCCACTTCAAGGTCTCATGATCTGAGAAAACTTTGAAGTGGCGTCCCAAAAGGTAATGTTTCCAGTGATCCAACGCCATACGCAAAGCATAGAGCTCGCGCATGTAGGTGGAAGTGGCTACCTTTACGCTGGGCATTCGTTTGTTGTAGTACTCGAGTGGCCGCAGGCCATCGCCGTCATCTTGTTGCAGCACTGCACCGATTCCATACTGACTTGCATTCGTAGTAACTACGAACGTCAGTTTGGGATCTGCAATGTTGAGTACTAGGTAACTTACCAAGGTTTCCTTGAGAGTTTGAAAAGCTTTCGTACACGCGGCATCCCAGGAATAAGACACATTTTTACTGGTTAGTCGCGACAATGGACGAGCAATGATGGAGAAACGGGGTACAAACTTCCGATAGTACGATGCGAGACCAAGGAAAGAACGCAATTCGCGAATGTTCGTAGGTTGAGGCCAATCGCGTATGACCTCAATCTTGGTTGCCTCAGGCTCTAGGCCTGCAGCAGACAGCCGGTGCCCAAGATAGATGACGCTATCCTTCCCAAACTCGGATTTCTCCAAGTTGAGATGGAGCTGCGTCTTCTTGAGGATAGCGAGCACCTCCTCAAGATGCTTGAGGTGTTCCTCCATCGACTTGTTGAAGATTAGAATATCGTCCAGGTATACTACCACAAACCGGCGAATCTGTTCGCAGAGGACCTTGTTCATGAGGCTTTGGAAAGTGGCTGGTGCGTTCGTAAGACCGAAGGGCATTACGGTGAACTCATAAAGTTCGTCGCGTGTTTTGAACGCAGTCTTGTGCTGGTCCGCAGGATCGACTTCAATCTGGTGGTAGCCAGACTTGAGATCAATCTTGGAGAAGACCTTGCACCCGCCTGCAGCATCAAGCAAGTCATCTATACGAGGCAATGGATAAGCATTCTTTCTTGTGATGCGGTTTAGACCGCGGTAATCAATCCACATGCGGAGTTTGCCTCCTTTCTTTGTCACAAACAACACAGGAGCACCAAATTCAGATTCACTAGGTTTGATCCACCCTTTGTCAATCATCTCATCGATTTGTCGCCGGAGTCCCTCCAACTCACCGGGTCTCATACGGTACACGCAGCCCTTTGGAGGAACAGCACCCTCGACCAACTCAATGGTGTGTCGAACCGGTCGCGTGGGGACTCCACGTGGCTTGGCCAAGACTTCCGGAAACCTATCGAGGAGGGTTTGGATGTTTGATGGGATAGGTGGGGGTGCGGAATCAGCAAAGGGATCACCAAGATCCGGCCGCAAGTCGCGTATAGAGACGACCGAATCTGAAGTAGGATCATTTGGACTTTTAGAAGGTGGAGAAGCAGAGGCAGTGGTAGCAGTAGTATTATTAGAAGTAGATTTACTAGTTGAGGTAGAAGTAGGACTCACCGCAAAAGTAGAAGGCACATGAGCAGGGCGAACAAAGGCAACATACAACTGTTCGTCCTCTTTGTGCTTGCGCCACTTCTTGCAAAACTTCAATGCATTTAGAAAAGTCACTGGGGATTCGTGCTTCTCATCCAAGAGGACAGGAAGTTCATTCCCCTGAGCATCTTTGACCATGAAGAGTGACTCCTTCCACTTGGTCCATTCGCATTGGGACTGCAGCCAGCCCAAGCCAAGGACAACATCGAAGGGGCACTTGTCAAGGACAAAGAAGTTCAATGCGTGGGTGACAGCCTTACCTCTGTCAAAGGTAGTGCGCACACCTTTGACTGCATGTGTTGAAGAGACAACTTCCTTGTTGCCAACTTGGGTCCGACAAGGGTTCTGCAGGGCCACTTGCTTCATCCCCAAGCCCACCTTGCGTATCCCATGTGGTGACATGAAATTAGTTGTAGCACCACAGTCAACCAACACACGGAGATAGCGGTGGTTTATGAGAAGTTTAAAGAAGATCAACTTCACTGTCCCTTGGGCACGCTGCTGTTTCATCTCAGCCCAATGCTCCAAGTGGTAGTGGAAGTCAACCATCTCAGACTCCTCCCAAGGCTCGACATACAAGACATTACCTACCTCAGCCTTGTCTTCAGCAGATGGTTGGACTTCAAGGGAGGGCTGCTGATTTTCAACAGAACCGGACTCCCCTGCTGTAGAGTTTGCTGAATCTGACTCTACGCCCGATTCTGGTTTCCCTGCAGCCTGTAACAGTCTTGAACCTTATGATTTGGTTTTTGGCAATGCAGGCAAACCCCTTTCTTGAGTCTGCCCCGCCAGTCATTCTCAATGATCCGGAGGTCACCCAAGGTTTGGTAGTTGCATCCTCCGGTTTAGGCGGGATCTTGACTCCTTTGGGAAGTTTGACATAACTTTTCCCGGCACTCCGATTCGGTCCCTTGGTGCTGGCAGTCTTTTTGAAGGCAGAAAAATTTTCTTCTTCTTTATTTCCGTCAGACTCATGGGCTGAAGAACAAGTATCGGAGTCCTGTTCTTGGTCATCACCAAGAGTGGGGCCATCTGCATCGGCTTCTTCTTCGGCCTCCAGCAGGTCATGCACAGCAAAACGGTTGCTGCCCTTGAACCGTTTGCCGCCCATGGGCTTTTTGCTGCCTGCCGTGCTCACGAGGTCTATAGCCTCCAAACTGACTATGTCCTTCATTAAGGTTAGCCAGTCAGTGTAAGCAATGTAGTCCCTGCCCAGGCGACTAGTGAAATTAGTTGGAACCGCGCCCTTAACCACATCTACGAAAGATCGAGCAGACAAATCCAAACCAGGAGTGGCAAACATCTTGCTTAGATAGGTCTGTAGGCTTTTCATGGAGCCATTCCGCTTGTTATGCTTGACTTTATCAAGTTGAATTCTTGCTCTAGCAACAGCATGTCGATCTTGGTATTGAGAGATAAGGAGATCCTCGAGGGAGGCAACCGGGGTGGTCCTAAGCCATTTGGCTAGCGCAGTCTTTTGGAACCCAGCCCGCGTCGCTTGGACTTCTAGGAAGCCCCGTACGACCGGCTCGACATTCATTCCCATGATTACCGCCTGGGTCTCAGTTTGAGTCCCCATAATCTCAAAGTAGGCCCTCATGGAGCCGAGCCAGGACTGGATGTCTTCTTTGTCGTCGTACTTGGACGATATTTCAACCGCCTTTCGGTCCACATAGGGACCAGCGTGGCTGGGACCAGCAGCAGCTGGTTCCGGTCTTGGGGCTGCAGCAGTTGCAGAAGTTCCAGCCTCATTGCTTGTTACAGCAAGTGGAATCTGCACCTGCTGCAGGCCCCGAGGGGGTTGCCATCACACTCGAAGAAGAGGTAGAAGAAGATACAGTAAGAGGGGCAGAGGTAGTTTCGATTGCAGCTTCAGATCCAGGGGGTAGAGGAAGAGGGTTGGCCACTTGGGCTTGTCGCAGGTCAACCACCTCCTTTGTCAATTCACGGTACTTGTGGGTCATATCAGTCAGATCATCTTGAAGTGTCTGCAGCTTTGCAAAGACTTCCGCGATCTGAGTGGTATGGTCCTCAAGATTCCTGACTTGAACAAAGGTTGTAAGTATGGACTGCAATTGTTTCCCACACTGCTCTTCAGTCAGTGAGGGGACAGTCTCTAGGAGAGCCACTTGCCTTTTCAGCAGGGTCTCCTTCCTCTCCTTCTCTGACTCCTGTTCTCTTTTGATTGCACTATCCAAGAGTGCTTGCAGATAAGTTTTCTCAGCATCACTGGCTGCATCTAACAAGGTCCGCCATTGCATTGAAGTAAGATGGGCCATTTTCGGACTGTCAGTATGGACAGGTGGGTCAGAGAGTCGCCAGTCGGCAAAAGAATCAATCAGACTCTCCAAAGGTTCACTCCCCCTCCCGCTTAGACGAACACTCCTTTTCCCAGTCCTTGCCCACTTCAGACAATCACTTTCCCTCTCTCCCTGTTTTCTCTCCCTCCTTTCTCTCTCTTCTTTCAGATTGCGAGTCTCCACGGGCATCGGAAATGAACTCAAAAAAACTGGAAAGCGTAGAGAAGAGAAGGTAGAACTCCTAGCCGGAGCGGCATTTCATTTGGAAGTAGAGAGAAGCAGAATCAAAAAAACACAAACAAACTCAATGAGAGGTCTGATCCAGCGACCCAGTCTGATCAGACTGCATACGAGGTCCTCTCGAGTCCAGTCTGACCAGCTCCGTGACCGTACAACAAATCAGACAACGAGTAATTAAATGCAACAATGGAGAATTGAGTGGTGTACAGGGTGCGAGTCAACCCACGGACAGTGCAATCAGAATACATGCGAAACGTCTCAGCCAAGATCCCCTTGGCAGTGGGTGTCCTAATCCAAGAAGAATGAACTCGTATCCCAGCCAAGAAGACGAGGTCAATGCCTAACCGATTTGGGTCTAGAGGCTCTCCTTGTTTGGGCCCGGTCTCGCTGGGTCCCAAGGGTCCCGCTTGGTCCCAAGGGTCCCATGTAGGTCTCAACCAGGTCCCAACCAAGAGGAGTTCCACCTGAACTTAGTTCAGTCTCTACTGCACTGAAAAACAAAATTTCAACTTCTGGCAGAACCTACAGACTACAACCGTTCAGTGATGAAAAGACAAAGCATTGTAGAAAGACTCGGCATGTATGTCAAGATACTTCATTTTCCATCCATCAGGTGAGTAGGTAGATCACATGCATTCAGTCACACAATCAAGACCACAGAGGAGTAGGAAAAGAAACCCAGAGTACCCCAGCAGGTCAATCAATACCATACACACATACATGGGCATCCCGTAGGTGCACGGCGCTTACCTGAGTGGTCTTGAGCTTTGAGATGAAGAGAACTCACCCCCCTTCTCATGTGGTCCTCCTGACCCCTCTAACGCTACCCCTACACTAGTGTCCTATCTCCCAGGAGGGTCTGACTCCAACACCCAAGTGCAACGCTGGATCCCCCGTCGATGTTGAAGATCGAAGTAGCAACTTGCAGTCCGTTGATGCAGAATGGCCGCTGGCCCTCAAGCTCGCCTACTTGAGGGCAGCCCTTAAGTTACCAAGTGTCTCCCTTGAATCAGATTCCAGGTGCGAGTGCCTCTCACTGTCGCCTCTCTCAAATCGCCGCATGAAGTCTCCTCGAAATGTCTCGACACCCTAATCTCACTCTCAAGCAACCTGGTTAGGTTCTATGTTGACCCCACATGACCTAACCAGGTGGGGGCAGCTTCCCTCAACCACGCTGCCCCACTTCCCTCAACCAGCCAACCCTAACCCTAAGTGTTGCCCTCAACCACTTAGGTTAGGGTTAGGGCAGCAAGTCAACTCTCACCATCAAGTAGAATCCGCTCTGATACCAATGTTATGACCCTGGCCAATTTCGAGATACACATCCACTGGAAAGTACAATGCCATCCAATTGCAGAAAGAAATGAACGAACTTGAGAGGAGAGAGAGGAGTAGAAGAAGAAGAAGAAGTAAGAAAGAAGAAGAAGAAGTTGTACACCAGCAAAGACAATGACAAGGCTCTTCTTCTTCGCCCAACAATCTTCTCCTCCTTATCTCCCCCTTCTCTTATTCATACAAGAAATAATAATACAATGTTGAATGACTGGTCCAGAATCATGTCTGAGTCCCTCTTCTACTGCAGGTATCACTCAAGGTCCACCATAGCCATGGCCGCCTCTCCCACTCTTCACTCTCATAGGCCGAGGCTATGGCGGACTACTAGGCCTTGCTCAGATGTCCAAAGGACAACCCAGAGCAGCTATGGCTGCTCCAGCTCAGGCCATCATGCCCAGCCCTGCCTTGAAGCTTCTTGATGTGACTCCCCCCGGCTGGGGACTCCTTGCTGCAGCGCCCACCAAGGTGATGAAGATGGCTGCCACCATAGCCAGGTAAGTACCCCTGGCGCTCCTCCCCCTTCCTTCCTCCTTCCTCCTTCTTCCTCCCTCATGTCCTTCTCCTTCCTCCCCAACAGCGCTGCTCCAGCTTAGCGCTGCTCCAGTCAGCGCTCCACCAGTGTGTCGCCAAACTTGCGCACCGAAAAAGAGGCCGGGTCTTCCACCCGGCCGAAAGATATAGCGGCCTGCTTTGCCTCTTGGGCGGTCACTTCCAGGCCGCTGGCCTTCCCAAGTAACCGGTACCTCCTCCTCTTTTGGAGGGAACATCATTGCAGACTCTGATATTGCCCCTACAGGCCCTAGACTCAGACTGGTACCCGCTAGACCTAGCCGACACTACCGGCCTCTAAAAATGCCACTTTTGTCTTCTTCTGCTCGGCCTCTGGTACCTGCATATTTACCCCCCTGCCGGGTGCGGTACCGGCCTACCCGCTACTTGAGTACTTCTTCCCCGCTGCAACCCTTCAAAGCCACGGCCACAGGTAAGTACCGGCCCTGAGGGCCCAACGAACGAACAAGTGCCCTGGCGGGCCACACACACACACTCATACCAACCAGCACTCAGACAGGCACGGTCACACACACGCAAGCCAACCAGCACTCAGACAGACATGCAGTCCAGCAAGCACACGCACACACACACAGACTTAGCAGGCGGGGAACTCAGTAGGGCATTCAGTCTATGAGCAAAACTCAGAAATCAGCTGTGTGTTTCAGTCCGTGTTTGGACGGGTTATCACACTGAAGAAACATCGAGTGATCGAGAGTCTGGCTGGCCCTGTTCACAACCCTCCCCTGCCCCCTCTTCCTTCCCACATCTCTCCCCCCACCCCCACCCCTCCTCTTCCTCCAGATGCTGCCTGCCTTTAGGATGGGTGGATCCCACTTTTCATAGGGACCATTAGGGAGTCTTGATCCCCCTCGCAACTTCTCTATAGTCTGTTCATTTCCCCTGAAAGGAAAAAATAAATGTGCGACAGAAAGTGCCTGACTTGTGGCTATGTGATACACACATGCAACTGGTGATGAACAGCTCACAGAGTTCAAGTCCTGAAGGATAAAGTAATGCTAGGGGATATTCCATTTCTCAAAAGAAAAAGAATGCATATTCTACGAGCATGAACTTTGTCCATATTCCAGCAAGATTCACCATCCAGTGCCATGGAATACCAAGCACCAACTGTGGTTGTCTTGTTCCTCAGCAAACATTCCAAATTTCAAATAAAATTTAATAAATACTTTTGGTTAATGCCAAGCAAAAACATTTCAAGATCTCCAGTACCTGTTGTTGATTGGCCTCCTGCCAGCTCGGCGACTTTTTCAAAGACTTCGCCATGTAAGCCAGTATGTATATCCAGATCAGCAGGGTCACCTGCTCGACTTGCAAAAAGGAACAGACGAACTTTCACTTCTTGGCTCAACACGTCTGCACGTGGAGTGTGTGATCCTTTCCTGCCAAACAGTAACACCATCGCCACACTGACGTAATGGTGATTTTCACCCAACTCTCATACGGACACGAAGTTGCAATCCCCAGAGGACAAGCAATTTGATCAATTTTGACATTTGGCAGCCGTGTTGGCCCAAGAGACCAAAGGCAGCTCTAGCGCAAGGGGGTGAACTATCTATATACAAGCAATTAGTGACAAGGGAGGGTATGCTAGTTAGGAGAAGATTTAGGACACCATATAGAGGGAAGGGGAAGGGGTAAAAGGAAAATAGCGAAAGTATAGAACGGGAACAAGAGAAGAGGGGAATTGGCATTGATTTAACCAGAAAAAGACAAGGGCCGGATGGAATTAGATCAAAGAAAGCCTGGACAGATGTTAATCCTCTCAGGGAAGGGAGCAATCAATGCATCGGGCCAGGAGGTAGTAGTGACGCGGTTAAAGCGTACCAGCAACAGGGGTGAGCAGTGGTAAATCCTCCTAGGTCCAGGAGTAATCAATGCCGCTGTCTCAGGTTTCCTCGGCCATAACGGACGAAAGTGTGAGTGCGTACTGTTGTAAGGGATGCTGACCCCGCTTTCAGCCTTATAATGGACATGTTCATTCTTCTTGAAAAAAGAAAAAAAAAAAGAAGAAGAAGAAGAAGAAGGAAAACAGAAAAAGATAATGAGACATCATTATGACTTACAGATTGTGCCCAGTTGATCAGCTCCTTCGTGACTGCAGTAGTCTGTTGCCATCAGTGCTTTTCTCCCTACTTTCCTCCCTCCCTTCCTCCAACACCATCCTCCTTCATCTTCTTCTTCTTCTTCTTTTTCCTCTTCCTCTTCTTCTTCTTCTTCTTCTTCTTCCTCTTCTTCTTCTTCTTCTTCTTCTTCTTCTACTTCTTCCTTCTTTCTACTACTACGACTGCTACACAGGAGCAGCAGCATCAACGGCCAGTTATATTCGTCTAGTTTCACGTCTCTTGCAGTTCACGGGGGTGTAGGTCCTGAATATGTGCACCTACCTGAAAACAATACAGCGATTTTCATTCATCTGGCATGATGCAATATTCAATTTTGGGGAAAGTACATGAATCACAATACAAAGATAAAGAATGGGAGACAGAAAGAAGAGAGGAATGAGGAAAGGAAAAGAAAAAGAAGAGTACAAGGATTCTCTCAATGTCAACTTCCCCCCCTCATGTCGCCTCCATTTCATCACCCTCATATCTCTGCCTCATCTCTTATTACCGGTCTATAACCAAGAAACAATTTGAAGCAAGAATTTTAATGTCCAACGGGTTTACCTAGCTAATGCTCTTGAGAATGGACGTCCTTCTGCTCTTCTATCCCCAAATTCTCTCCTACATAGCACTACAATGTCCAGCATGCCATCCCTGCACTCGAGCAGCATGTACAAGACAAATGCATACCCTGTCTCTCCTCTTAGAGAAGCATTACCATTGACTTGGGTGAAGTCTGGAGCGTGAAGAGGATCTCTTTGATATAGCACTACACACAGGGATGAAGACGGTAGTCCACCGTAGCCGGAACATAAGTCCTCATCACGATTTCCTACTTTCATCGCCGTCGTCTATTTGCCCATGTGGGCACTAGAACCCATCCCCATGGGCTAATCCTCCCCCATCAACCCTCATCTCCTCCTCCATAGTCATCGAGGTCATCTCCCTCGCCTTCAAGCTCTCTCCTCACTCCCGATCTGCTCCACTAATCACCCTCAGGGCGGAGCAGTATCATCACTGTTGGGGAAGCGAGTTGCTGAAGTGACACACAAGTGATATAGTGGCTGGACTTGCAGGTCAACTGGCCAAGTTCTCTCTCCTCCAGTGGCTCTAGGCCTCGCCTACCTTGCCTCCACGTTTACTGGTTGTAATCTCCCTTGTGTCCGGGCAGTCCTAGACTTGTACCAGTCGATATTCACCTGGTACTACCGGTACCACCACCCACAGGTCTTGTCAAAATTGCTGGAAAGTCCCTACCAGGTCCCTAAATTATTACTACCTCTATGCCCCTGTCCATTCATTCTACTATCCTTGTATCTATACAATAGGGTAGCTTTCAGTCCTATCCCCCCAATGCTTCAAATCGGAAATAATCTCTCATACGGAGTTCAAATCCAGTCAAGCAGTTAAAGCACCAGTACACCACATGTCGGCCCCCGGGTGTCAGCATGAAACCCGCACCACTTCGGAGGCCGCCGATTTTTTTTTTCAACGGCGGGCCTGGCCGCGCCGCGCCTCCGAGTTTTGCTTGTGGCGACAAAAACTTTCTGCAAGGCTGGGGTCGTGTACTAGCGGTTTAAATGTCCTGGTCCAACCCTTCGAGTTCACCATTCGCCGGCAAGTCCTTCTCCAAAACCCAGAACGAAGTACAGAAAGGTGATTACAGCAGGCACTTGGACAAACCAGAACTCGTGGGAATAGTCATCGACTTATCCAAGACAACTTAGACAAGCCATTTTTTACAAAAGCAATTTCGGAAACATCATTTCAAACTCAGGCAAGACTTTGGTATCTCCTCAGACACACAAATCTTCTCAGCGAGAAAGTCAGACTTCTCTGAGTGAAAACTGTGCACTGTGCAAATACACCTTTTTTTGAAGTTCTGAACTTTGTTGTCCTCCTCTGTGCAGCTGCAAGTATATTCATTTTGCGAGTTTGGTGCACTTATTTTGAAGAAACCTAAGTGTTTTTTGCAGATCCAAGAGACAAGAAATTGATTAGACGTTGGGCATTCATCAGCAGGTCACAGGTAGCTTATGAACTGGTGCACTTATTTTGAAGAAACCTGGTATGTGCTGCCATGTGGCCCCTGAAAATTGACATGTGGCAGTTTCTTTGCACCCAGAGCCTACTGCATCGCACTTGTCACAAGACAGACCTTCTTGGGCACAGAAATAGAATGGAACTGGGAAACCAGCTCTTTCCTTTTGGGGAAAGGACCTTGAGGTGCAACTGAGTCGCTCACCTATATAACTGCCGTCTATTTTCCAATCGCAGGAATAAGCGGTGAGGTCTTACGAGCTCACTTTAGCTAATCCTTCAGCATTTGCCTACGCAAAGCAGAGCTAATAGGGTCAGCGGCCTAGCTCACTTGGTTACCCATTCAGGAGGTTGTGGGTTCGATTCCCCGCAGCCGCCTGCGGCCTGCTTGGTGTTAGCCAGCCGGGATAGTTGGCTTGCCCTCCCTAGTTGGTCCTGGTAGAATCCTGGGTTCTCCCAGGAGGCCTCTGCCCCTGCCAGTCCTAGCTGGTGATTAGTTCATATGGTCAGTAGACTTTGGTTGCCCCTGTTTGGTAGATGTAGCTCTGGTTAGCCCCTGCATGTAGATCACCTGTCTAGGTAGATGAGGGTAGGTAGTGTAAGGGATACTTGACAGAAGAATATACCTTAGTTTTTCAAAACAAGAAAAAAGCAGCAGCGCTAAGGTTCAGGGGGCAGTGCTGCATCCTCCTGGCATATCTGCAAAAGCTGTCGGTATGGGGTGAGCGCACCCGCACTGGCGCCACATAGGGGAGGTCTGAAAAGGCTACGAGCTGTGCATGAACCTGGAGCTGGGAGACATTGCACAGACTAGAGAGTTAGGATTGGGTGGCGCCCGAAAAGGAGGGCAGACAAGGAGTAAGAAGGAAGAAGATTGTGTGGCCGGTGAACAGGCTCATAGTTGATAGGAAGTTGAAGACCCATGGGGGCAAGTCTGTGCTCCTTGGACTTGTGCAATTTGATTGCACCTGAATATAACTGATTGTTAGTGGTCTAAGGATCAGTACAATGGAGATGGCGGCAGGAAGGGAAAATTAACACTTGTCCGAATCTCTTTGCAGTTCTATCCTCTCCCCCGTGGTTGAGCTTCCAATTGCATGTAATCTGAGGGCATTGCTGTGGTTCATATGGACACCATGTACTATTCTTTGTATAGCAATGGAAGATTCTTTCTTCTCTCTTCTCTCTTCTCTCTTGTCTCTTGTCTCTTCTCTCTCCCCTCTTCTCCTTTCTTCCTTCTTCCTCTTCCCCGCCATCCTTCTCGGACTACGTTGAATACGGAAAACGCCATGTCTGCCCTTCACTCGAAACGGAAGGAAAGAAGAGAAAAGAAAGCAGTGTGCAAACGAAAGACTGGTCTAGAGACTGGTATAGAGTCTATACCCATACTTCTGTATGTCCGACACTGTTGTCAGTATTCTGTGACAACTTAACTTGAACCTGGTCATCATAGGGTGCCAGGTTCGTCAGGCCAGGTTCATCCTACTGCTGCCTGATGCTAATAGCTATCAACTTGCCTATCCCACACCCCCTCAGGGCCCGCACACAGCTGATACCTGATGTGAGCACCAAGAACTAAAAAACTCGAGAAAATAGACTGTCAGAGAGAGAGTAGGTGGCTGCTAATGACCAGAGAAATCCCTGCAGAGGCAGCAGAGCATCATTTACACGACTTTTCCGTCGACTTGACAATTTCTGGGTTATGTCGTTTCCTCCCCCACTAGGTCAAAAGGCTTCAAGCTTTTGAAATGACTGACCTGTGGGTTGGGTGTGTGCATCATTCTACTAACCCCTAGTAACCCAACATTTTTGAGGTTTGCAGGCTGCTGCTGTAAAGTCACGAGGATTGCACTATGAAGACCGACCATGTGGTGGTTAACCTTCATTAACCTATAGCTGACTCCAAGCGGGCATCCGGTCAGGTTGGTCAGAACTCCAGTTGGATGGGGTCAAATGGGTTAATTTCATCTAACCTCCGGTCAGATGGGGCTAAACTCTGCTTGACAGTTTGACTTTGTTGGAGTTCATGTTGACCTGACTCAGGCCTCTTGACAACTTGGTGAAGTCTAGCACATGCAAGCAGCACTCAGTTAGACACATCATTTTTTTCCAGTTCCATAGTATCCATTCTTCATACCTTGAAAAAATGCTGAAGACATTCAGCCTGCATTCACACTTAGACTTCCTTGTACGCAGTGTGATCTCATTTTTGTCTTCATCATAAGTGCTGCTTCGAT